TGGCACAGGACAGAGCAGAGTTTAGGGCTGTTGTACACAGGGTCGCTATGAGTCGCAAGCAACTCGATGGCACATAACAACAACATATAGACTGCTAAGAGAAGGAACAGGTTTGTCCTGGAGAGGGTGAAGCCAGGCTGCTCCTTGGAGGCAAGGATTCTGAAGCTTCGGCTGACATACACTGGACACTTTGCAAGAAGGGACCAGTCCTTGGAAAGGGATGTCATGCTTGGGAGGGTGGAGGAATAGTACAGGAGAGGAACACCTTCTAGGAGGTGGATTGATTCAGTGACTGGGGAAATGGGAGTAGGTGTGTCAGAGACAATAAGGCAGAGGATAGAGCAGGGTTTAGGGCTGTTGTACAAAGGGTCACTATGAATCGCTGGCGACTCAATGGTATATAACAACAACAATATATATACTATGTATACACACACACACACAAACACACACACACACATACACACATCATAGGGTCGCTATGAGTCACCTACGACTCGACGTCACCAAACAACAACATATATACACACACAATAGCGTGTGTAGAATGTAACCATGTGAAGTTGGCATTTTCACACAACACAATGCTTTGCTATCCACCCAAACTGTTACACATTATCACTAGCTGAGTGTTTTAAATTGCTAAACAGTAGTCTAATTACATATCTTTGGAAGCAAGAATAGTGAAGCTTTATCTCATATACTTTGAGCATGTTGGTAGTATAGGATATTCCTTGGAAAGGGACATCATGCTTGAAAAGATGAAGGGTTGGCAAAGGAGGAGAAAACCCTCAGAAAAATGGATTGACACAGCGACTGCAGCAATAAGCTTAAGTGTATCAGAGATTATGTGGATGGCACAGGATAGGACAGGGTTCAAAATCTGTTATTCACAGGTTCACTAAGAGTTGTACTTGACAGCATGTAACAACAATGTTTATTCATCAGCTGAAGAACATTTAGTTTTATGCCAGTATTCAGCAATTCCTATTTGTGCTTTGAGAATTTTCCTTTGTCCAAAAGACACAGAATGGGCTAGAATAGATGCAATCATACCATTAAAAAAAGATACAGAAGTAGCTCATATAGGAGGTACTATTAGTCTAAAAGTAATGATTCTCAATCTGGGAATTGGGGTGGGGGCTGGAGGGTTGCCCTGCAAGAGACAAGCTGTCATTGTCTTAAAACATTTTTCATTTTCACATATTGGGAGTACTACTAGTTTTTAGTAGACAGAAGCTAGAGATGCAGTTAAATATTCTACAATGTGCAAGATAGTGCCCCCCCAAAATAACTGACCTAAATGTCC